AGTTCAAGGGGTATGAATACTTTTGCAAACCACTGTACAATTCTGACACCGTATTACTTTGTACACTGTCCATCACAGCTGCACGCCAATTAGAAAATATATTTTTTGGAGACGTCACCTCCCATTTAATTTCATTTAGGAAAATCTAACTGCTCACTTTTACTCAGTACTTTTACTTTTAATACTGAAGTAGATTTTGTGTCAGAAATTTACTTTTGATACTTAAGTACAAAAAATATCAGATACTTTAAGACTTTTACTCAAGTAATATTTTTAGAGAAGACATTAACTTTTACCAAAGTATTTTTATGATAAGATACTTGTACTTTTACTCAAGTATCACTTTAAGGTACTTTATACAACACTAACAAAACCATTCCTTTTAACCAGGGGGGCCCAAACATTTTTCCTGAGAGCGCCAAATCAGTCTGAGGGCCACGGGCCAAATGCAGTAATATATGAAATGTAAAGTAAAGTTGTTTTATTTTTCAGGATTAAGTCAGCAGCCAGTGGGGTTGGCCACATTTTTCTTTTCTGCTCAGGGACATGGAGAAAATTCAATGTATCCTCAGGCAGCAAAGGCTCATGGGACTTTTCACATTTAAATTTTTAGTATATGTGGTCTTATGAGGTGTGCAAATCTGTTTATGAGCTTAAATCTAAACTAAATGTCTCAATCTATTAACCAGGACAACTGCTGCTGGGCCAAATCAAATGGCTTGGTGGGCCACTTGTGGCCCGCAGGCCTCACTTTGGGCACCTCTGCTTTAAACTATAATTTTCCATTTTTAAAATCTGGTTCATTTGATTTTCTGCCTTTATTAATACAGAACGAGTGAAATTAATTAACGAGCTCCACTTTATAAATAATGTGTTTTAATTTGGATTCTGATTAAAATGTCAAGTCATTGGTGTAAACGTCTGAGTCACACGGGTCTGAACATTTGCTCAAGTCAAATCTAAAGTCACAGTGTTAATGACTCGGGTCTGCACCTCTGGTCGAAGCGGGTCAGGACCCTCAGAGTTCTGCTTCAACTCCCTCTCCTCAGCTCAGACACAGATTTATGATTAAAGCAAACATTTACATTTTTCACTTCCTAATTTATTTTTGACATTTGCTCCAATATTTTTAAAGCTGATGTTCTGGAACTGTTTCAGGAAACAAAGAGAAAAACAAAGTTCTGCAGATAACTGGGTTTTTATTTTGGATGATGTCACCTGAAACTTAAATAATTAAAAATAATATAACTTCTGGATTGCAGTGGGTAATAAAAACATTTTTAGGGTCAAACATTACCGGCTGCATGTCTAATTTCAAACTGAAAACTAAAGTTTATTAAAATGCTTTAAAAAAGAAGAGAAAACTGTAGTTTAACGTTTTCGTACCTTTCTGTTTGTCCATGTTGTTCTCAGCAGGTCATCTTCTGACTCATCTCTGCTGAAGAATCCACAACAGAACTCCTCGTGGTTCCTCCTGCCTGGACTGGGTCTGCTGGTTCTGTGGGAAGCAGTTTGAGGTCCGACTGTCGAGTTCTGCCTCCGTGTGACCTCAGAACATGGAGGAGGAGGAGGAGGAGGAGGAGGAGGAGCAGCCTCGTTCTGTGTGAGAAAGAATGAAAAACAAGCAGCAGCAGCAGAGAAAACCTTCAAATGATGAATAACAGAGTGAGACAAACAGAGGCCTGCAGTCCTTCTCTCATTTATTATTCATTCATTCATTTATTCATTCATTCATTCATTCATTCATTCATTCATTCGTTCATTCACTGCTTCAGACAACAACACATTCCAAACAACCTCCTCCAAACCTTCAGTTCATTCAACATGTTCTGAGTGATGTCTCAGGTGTCCTCGTCCTCAGGTGTCCACGTCCTCAGGTGTCCACGTCCTCAGGTGTCCACGTCCTCAGGTGTCCTCGTCCTCAGGTGTCCACGTCCTCAGGTGTCCACGTCCTCAGGTGTCCACGTCCTCAGGTATCCTCGTCCTCAGGTGTCCTCATCCTCAGGTGTCCTCATCCTCAGGTGTCCTCGTCCTCAGGTGTCCTCGTCCTCAGGTGTCCACGTCCTCAGGTGTCCTCGTCCTCAGGTGTGAACGTCCTCAGGTGTCCTCGTCCTCAGCTGTCCTCGTCCTCAGGTGTGAACGTCCTCAGGTGTCCTCGTCCTCAGCTGTCCTCGTCCTCAGGTGTGAACGTCCTCAGGTGTCCTCGT